ATGCTCCTTTTATATGTAAGGTGTACGATATGGCTTAAGAAAAATTAAATAAATAAATAAAAAAGTCGACTTTTATTTCACATGCCATCTCTAGTATGATAACATGCAATAGGAAAACACGTGTGAAGTGTGAACAGCCAATGAGAATATCATAACATGATGTATATTACAGTAGCAAGTCTACCTAGAGTATGGTGTCAGTCCAGCGCCCTTCACCTGGATCTCCCAGCGTCCTGTGGGATTCTCATTCAGTAATTCAGGGCTCTGGTCCACTGGGGCTTTCACTTCTCCCAGATAACATGCAGCTCCATCACCAAGCTGTCCTGCAAACTGTCCAAACTGGTGTCCGCAGTAACAATGGGCAGCAGGTTCTGATCCTGGCAACACTTTAGACCCACTGAGATACTCTGGGCCCAGTGGATCCTTCAGAACCTCATCAGCATCAAGACCCAGAAGTGTCAGAGCTGGACCTGAAACTGACACAAACTTTGGGTTCTTTAGAGGGCTTGGTTGTACCCTAGAGAAGCACGCCCCCCGGACCTGTCGGACTCCTGGTTCGGTGGACGAATCCAGTGGAAGTTGTTTAAGAGCAACATTCTCAAACTGCAGTCGTTCAATGCAAGAGCGGCTCGTGCTTATGCCCATGTCGTCCATTACCGCATTTGACAGTGATCTAAGTAAAATAACACCGGGACATGAGATATAAAGCCGTGTTAAACGAGCTCCAGCAGAAGCCATTCACATCGTACTAAAGTCAAATAAAGCTTGTTATATAAGGAGAGCGAACGCGAATTGAGCAATCCTTAAATAACTCCTAACAGAACCAACAGAACCAGAGAATGTTGTTCTCAAATCCGGTCCGTCGTTGTTTTCGTCCCCCTAGAAACAAACGCATCGGAACGTAACGTTACTAATCGAAAATTAATTATTCGCTTATTGGATTATTTTTTCATGGAAAAGCTTAATTTACTTTCATTATAAAGTGAATGGTTGTCATTGATATATGATAGCTTTCACAATGGAATAGTTCTCTTTTACTTTCTTTAGAATGACTGTCATTGATAGGCTATTCATTTTGCTGCAATCCAACTGTTAAGGAAAACGCTGGAAGCAGGGAAATGTATTATAAAGTTAACACGTTTGATATAAAATTCAAACTAACACATGTTTGGGTGTACAAAATCTTTTAATATCATCTAGATTTTTTCTTCTTCAAAAATAGTCATTAGTTGGCGTTTTGCCTGATAACAAGCTCTTAAATGGCATGGATAAATCTTCAATATGCAGTGTTGTGAGTCCCAAGACAAAGGAGCAAAGTTTGCTCCAAAAAAAGCTAAATAACATGCAGGGGTTGCTGGTCTACAAGTCTATAAGACTCTAAAGGAAGAGAAAAGTGAGTTCATTAATGCTTTGGAATACAGGAGAACAAGACAATGCTCCTTCCCACACAGCAAAGACAACCCAGAAGTTGCTTGAGAAGTCTATCAGGCTCATGTTTTGGCTTTGTCAGAGTCCAGATTTGATCCCTATTAAGAATTTTTGGTCTCACATTAATATATATCCATGCGCTCGCACACGTACACACATACACAGATATACATTTTATACAGTTGTGGTCAGAATTAATGGCTGGTAAATATGATCAAAAATGGCTGTAAAAAAAGAATCTGCATTGTTTATCCTTTTGATCTTTCATTCAAAAAATATATCTGAAGTATATTCCCATTAATGTTTAACTTTTTTAGCACACCAGGGTGACTAGAAACATGAAATTGTCTAGCTATGGCTTCTTGTTTCACATGAGTTTAAATATGAGGAAACACAAAGGCCAAATTCCCTCATCCATCACAATGAGTAAAACCAAAGAATAGTTCTGATGTGCATCAAAAGATTGTTGAGCATCACAAAATAGAAAGTGGCTGTAAGAAAATAGCCAAAGAATTGAAAATCCCCATTTTGACCATCAGGGCAATAATTAAGAAGTTCCAATCAACTAAAGATGTTACCAATCTGCCAGGAAGAGGACGTGTGTCATTGTCTTAAAGGGATAGTTCACTTTGAAATTAATTTTTTATGTTTTAGCTTTCCTCAAGGGCATCCAAGATGTAGGTGTCTTTGTTTCCACAGTAGTTTCCATTTTGATATTTTTAGGTCAAACCGTTCTTGTCTGTCTGTCATATAATGCAAGTCTATGGTCACCACCTCAAAGAGGATACACAGAGAAGTCCAAATTAAACATGATTTAATGACTCGTAAATGTAAGTACACATTGATGGCCTGAGACATGAAACGAGCGGTTTGTGTGAGAAAACGAACAGTATTTATATCGTTTTTACCTCTTGTAACCATAGCCACGTCCAAGTGATCTGAGGGCGCGGGCCGGGCGCTTCGGTCTGTGCTTGACAAGAGGTAAAAACGATATAAATACTGTTACAGGGTTCAACCGTTACAGGGTTCTGTGGTCAGATGAAAAAAAAAAAAAAAGAAGCTTTTTGGCAGCAAACACGCTAGATGGGTTTGGTGCACACAAGGATAAAAAAGTACCCCATGTGTACAATTTAAAATACCATTGGATCTTTAATGTTGTGGGCATATTTTTCTGCTGGAGGTCCTGGACATCTTGTTCAGGTACATGGCATCGTGGATTCGATCAAATATCAACAGATAAAAAAAATCTAAACCTGACGGCTTCTGCTAGAAATCTTATAAAGGGCCGTAGTTGGATCTTCCATCAGGACAACGATCCAAAACAAACATCAAAATCAACACAAAAATGTTACGGAGCAAAAAATGAAACCTCTGCCATGACCGTCCCAGTTCCCTGACCTGATGACTGGAATGAACTGAAGAGAAGCGCCAACATGGATATGCGAATCTGAAGGATCTGGAGAGATTCTGTATAAAGGAATGGTCTCTGCTCTCTTGTCAGTTGTTCTCCAAACTCATTAGGCATTATAGGAGAAAACTCAGAGCTGTTATCTTGGCAAAAGGAGATTACAAAAGGTATTTAATAAAAGGGTGGCAATAATTATGGCCAGCGTGTTTTGAAGAAAAACATTTATTTCATAATGTGATTTATTTCATAATGTGATTATTTTAGATTTGTTCGATTTGAGCATTAGCTATTTTTTGCTTGTTGAAAGTGAAGGATAACAAAAAAATATAGCACTAACAAAAGGAGAGGGACCATTTATTCCCCCTTTCCACATTGTTAACAGCGATTAGGGGGAAAACTATTTTAGCACTATAGTTCATGGACACACAAAGAGGTGCATTAAATATACATTACTTAGTTGACCATGTAATTTCTCACCTTATAAGTGATCTCTAGATGATCAAAAGTAGCACTGCATGTAGCTGGCAGGAAGACAGACAGGGTTCCTACAGTTTTCATCAAGTTAAAAAAAAGTCTTTTTAAGACCATTTATATAAAAAATTAATACCTATTCCACATCCCTACTAGCAAAGAAAAACATTTATTATAAATAAACTTGTGTTCATTTATTTTTCAAATGTGGAATGGGTAAAAGATAAACCAAGCAGGTGTGAAAAATAAAAACATTTCAGTAGGCCACAAGAAAGTTTGCCGAACAATGTTAAGTTGTTTTTTAACATTAGCTAGCTACTTATTCCATGCTGGGAATATGGGGAACTGAGATACCCCTGAACAATAAACATCTAATAATCGTGGTTGACAAAAAAATCTTAATAATCGTGGTTGACAAATGAAACTTTTGAGGAAAAATACAATACGGAGAAGTTACATATACAGCACAATTTTTAAGACCCAGACATCAAAATTCAAGACTTTTTAAGGTATTATTTCCAAATTAATAAATTCAATGCTTAAGGATTTTTAAGACCCCGCGGGAACCCTGGACAGAGTTTAAATTTTCATGAAGTCAGCAGCATTTCGAGAAAAACCTTAGAGTAGAACTAGCCTACTGGGTCATTGGATCAATAGATCTTTAAAATATATGTTTTTTTTTTAAATCAATCCGTCGTTAAATCAACCATTAATTGTGCAACAACCTCTCAACAAATGCAGGGACTGTTGCTCTACAAATACAAATTAATATATGTTGTAAAGATTTCTTAAACTCCAATTAAATAATCCCAATAAGCCATTTACATAAGAAATCATGCAGAATGCAGATACATCCATATAGTCATCTCCTTCTCCAGCATAAATGCACATGGCACACATGCAAAGTTTCAGTCTTAATTTAAGCCCCACTATTGCACGAAATGCAAGTTTAAATGAAAAAAGAAGCGCAGATTTTTGGCATTAGCATTCCCTATCACACTCAAGACACGCAAGCGTTAAGTGTTTCGAATGTGCCAGTGACCTAACATGCCACATCTAAAAAATAATTCAGTCACCCTATAAAACACCATTGTAAAAAGCTACCTGGAAATACAAAGTCAAAATATGTAGCAGCAGTTCCAGTAGCACAAAGGCAGAAACACTCCTCCTAACTTCCTTCTATCCATATAAAGCATGCTCCCCAAATATTGCCCTGATGGCTCATGCTAGTGATAGGCTTTTCTGAAGAAGCATTTTTTTTGACAAGCAACATACCTTTTTGAATTGTTGTCTACACTTTTAACAGGAGTTTTAAGTCATTTTGATGGTCTCATGTGACCTTTTGAGACGGTGGTATAAAAAAAAGGACATTTCATTACAAGTGTTAGAGTATTACCATACCATCAACAATGAGCTTTCAGTTTGTTTCTAATTTAGTGAATTTAACCTTTATGCAACTAGATTTCTATGAAAATGGCAGCAAAAAAACAAAACAGTAAATTGGGGGAAAATGGACGTTTCCTTCTAAAAAAAACTGAATCAAGCACAATCTCTTAAATTACGTAAACACAAAATGTATCTTGTCCAATTATTTGCATAATTTACTCATTTCTATAAATGCCAAACTTTTCTTTAGCAAGATTGGTTTTGTTACCAATTAATAAATGGTGTGAGTGAAACAGAGGACTCCAGATTTAATAGTACCCATTTATTATGACCATAAGGAGAGAGAGCAAAACACCCCGACCAGTCTCTGTTCCTTTTAGCCCTTTCCAAGTCATGTAGTAGGAGGCACTTGATAGCTAGCACAGGCAAACTGTATGCTTGGCTTATCAGGTTATTAGAAAAACCAAGCAACCGCACAGAGTGAACGAGACTTGAAACTCTCAAACACTGTGTGCAGTTGTTTTAGTTTCACTCATTTCAAGCCATTGTTTCAGAAACATACATAATTCAATCACTGAAACCAAAAATACTTTGGTAAATCATTTTCCTAATGTGCATTACACGTATTTATCATTAAGTCATACTTTCAATAAAATCTGATTTATGCTTTTCATAATAAATGGTCCAATTGCGCTTTTAGTGCAATTCAGGTTTTAAAAATTAGTTCTGGGATACTGTTCCATTAATCACCTACATAAAAAAAGGTGGCCTCACTACTCACACTTCATGAACTACAGATTATGGCTGGAGTAGGTCGCAGATTCAAATGCTGACTTACAGGGAATAAAAAAACTGGACTTGCTGGGAAACAAAATTGATCAATCATTCGCAGGAGCCAACCAAAAGAAAAAAAAACACAGCAAAATAAAACTTCGTTCAGTTCAAGTTGCATGATAACATGGGAAATCATGCTGCAGCTAATTTTCTAGTGGGTCATACTTTAAGAATGAGGAAAAGGGAAAGAAAGCATGGTCCGATTTCTTTGGCAGTACAGCTCTGCGTCCACAGGTACACAGAGGGTCGAGGAGGTGACAAGAGTGTTAGTCAAAGGCTTCCACCCACATTGCTTCTTTCATATGGGATGGAGACGATGTTTCCCTCTAATCTTCCTCCTAATCTACCCAACCACCATCCTGTAGTTAAGGCTACTGGTGTTCAGTGTGCATCCTGATCTCACTGCTGAAAAGTCTGTGCCGATAAGAGAAGGGTCAAATGGAAGGCGTTCGTATATTCTCATACAACGATTGGACAGTCGGTAAGGAGAGTAACGCCCTCCCCACGCCCTTGCTGGCACGGTAGCAGGCATAACCCAGAAGCCCCCACATGGCTACCTTCAACACTTTGCGTACTACCAAGCCTAAACGAGATGGTGGAGCCACACTAAGAGAAAAAAACAAAACAAAAATGGGTCATGACAGATCTTGTACTATTAGATACTGAAGTACATACAACTGTTCCAATACGCACCTCATGATCTCATGGATATTAAGCTCTTTATCCCAGTTCTTCTCAATACCAGGCACATGACCCATCCCAACCACTCCAACCACCACAGCAGCCACTTCTAAAAAGAAAAAAAGTGTGTATGAACAAGAGGGTTCATGTAGCTCCTGCAGGATTCGGTCCTGTTCCCACAGAAATATACGTTACCTTCTCCCGCTCCCGCAAGCAAAAGCCCACAGGTAAAAGTACATCGATTTTATTTTGAGATATTTCTATTTTGCAGAGTCCCTCAAGTAAATTTCATTTCATTCTCCCGCAACCCCCAACACACGAGTGTCCCGCACTCACCCATCAAATCTTGTCCTACACCGCACTCGGTTGCATCGGGTCCTGCGGGAGTGCAGGCCTCTAGTTGACTAGACATGACTTAACATGACTCCAAATATGTTTTTTTGCCTGTATGAAGCACTGGGCGTGTTATTTTAGCATTTTTTATATACTATTATTTTAATATTTTCAGTTGTCACTATTTTACTTTCAGTAATTTTATGTTTTGTCATTTTTTTTTTTTTTTTTTATACTTCTATTTAGCTTTAAGTTACATCGCTTTAATTTAGGTTTAGTAATTTTAGGACTTCAACTTCTGTTCTAATTGTTCTCAATTTTTTCTAAATGTTCTAATTTTTCAAGATTTTCATCTAACATTTGTGTTTTATTTCAGAGCTATTTTAATTACAAAAACATTTTTTAATAGTTTTGTTTTTTGTCTAAGTCCCCCTGTAGTCAATGATTTTATCCCTTAAAAGTCATCTTTGATCACTAAAATGACATATTTAAACGTTCATACACCCACTATATTGCGAAATCTACCCGATTTTTCATATCAACAGAAAAATACACCGGGATAACCTGGCATCTCTCGAGACTCCCCGGCTAGTTCGGTGTTAATGATATCCCAAAGCCCCCCAGCACGTTGACGTGATTGGTCACAAGGTAGTTTGTGACGTCAGAAACAGCAGTGATTTCAAACCGCTTTTTTGAGACCGTCTTTCATTCACCGCAGTATTAAAGAGAAAATACTCAGCAATGGTGTTGACATAAATTTGCAAATGGTTTGTCTTAAAGCATATTAAAAACACCACATCGACATATAAACAACATTAAAAACTTGATTTTCACCACAGGGGGACTTTAAAGGGAGGGATAGTTCTGACATCATTTACTCATTTTATCAATGACTTCCATAGTACACAGAAAAAAAAAAAAAGAAAAAAAAAGGAAGACAACGAGAACCGGACACATTCTTCAAAATATCTTTTGTGTTCCACAAAAGAAAGTCAGTCATACAGGTTTGGAACGACATGAGTAAATAATGACAGAATTTCCACTTTTGGGTGGACTATCCCTTTAACAATAACAACACTGATCAATATGCAGTTTTAAATTCAAGACATTTTTCTAAATCAAATTAGCATCAAATTAACTTCAAGGCAGAGCACTGGAAAAGACTGCAGCATGAGATGAGCGTGCCGTACTCACTTTCAGCATTAGGAGGCGCCTCCACACAGCGCGCTGCCTGTCTAAGTGTGTGAGTGAGGTAGATGTCTCTTTCTGCAACAATAGTGCGGTGGAGGGCTGGAAACTCGCCGATCATCTCTGACATGGTTTGTTCCAGAAGATCTTTTTGTTTGCACTTCTCTACATCCTCCTTGCTGATAAGAGCAAAAACACATACCAAAAATCTGTTCATGTGAATCTCAAAACAAAAAACAAAAGAGCATATACAGGCCATACTTCCCCACAATCAAAGAAAGAAATTATGTTTTGCTTAAGCCCTTTATTTAGGACCATTATAGGCTTCATTAAGCTCAGTGGAGCTTCAAGCTAAATTTAGGGGGGGGGGGGGGGGGGGACATTCTTATTACTGGAAGACCTTGTTACAAACATTTTAATAACTATAATACCCAAATTAAAGGTGGTACAGCAAATTCTACCATGATGAATAAATTCTTCACAAATTAAATGGAGATTTAAATACAAATAAATACTACAAAAAATGCTAAGGCTTTCAATTAAATGTAATGACTTTTTATATATAATTTTTTAAATATTGAATAATCACAAATTATTGTATGTACATTTTTAAAAACAACCCTACATTTCTTTTATATTTTTTCATTATAAAATAATAAATTAAGGTACACAATAAAACACAGTAAGGCAGATTAAATCATGTTGAAATACTATAAAAGAACCTGTAGAACTTTTATATATATTATGTGTTAACATAATTTGCTAACATTAGTTTGCTTCATTACATATCATTGAACATAAGCTTATCGCTTCCAGTCCACAGCAATCTATCTCGCAAAACTGGTCTATGTACACATGCAGACTAGTATCTTTGCCATTCGTGTCTCTTGTCTGTTTTTCCTGTTCCGTTTTTAAGACACCATATGAAATTTTTACATTCTAAGAGACTTCTTAAAAACAAAAAGTGATTGCTGTGCATATAAAGACAAAGTGGTGTTGACTTGTACCTGATTGGGTCAGAGAGGAAGCACAGGCCCCAGGCCAGACGAGCCTTCTGCCACAGGCTGAGAGCAGCTATTGCACGCTTAAAGGTTACTGGAATGGGACGATCCCCAAGGTGAAATTTACAGAAGGGCACTTTTCCTGCCTGAATTGGGTAAGAGAAGAAAATGCATATTTTATTTATGCAGATCAGTCTTTGCTGTTTACAGGTTTCATGTTTCAGCTTTTGTGACCGTGCATTTATTGTTCTTTGATAATTGGGGACATCTGCTAGTCAGAAGTCAGGAACGAGTGCATGAGTTACAGTGCATGTCAGAACCATGAGGATTGTGTAAGTGAGGGAGAGCATGTGTATTCGCACTGACCTCCTTAAAGGCTTCTCTAAACTCTCCTCCAGGGGCCATGCCCAGCTGTTCTGTAATGTGAGCTGAGACTTTGAGCAGCAGTATCTGCATGAGGCCAGACATCACTCCATTCTGACACAAGAAATGAGAAAAAAGGATTTAGCATGTTGATAAATGAATTCAGAGGAATGTGTTTGGTAGTATAATAACTATGTCAGAGCAGTCTTCGGTTTCATGGCTGACCTGTTTAATAGCCTGCTGGACCTTCTCCAAGTTAATGTCTTTAGCCTCTTTTAGCAGCGTTTTCTCATCCATTTTAAGCATGGATACTCTGTACTGGCACAGCTCCACCACCACCACATCAGGTTGGACCGCTCGGATTGTCTAAAGCAAAGAGCATCAAATCAAAACAGCATTTAGTCAATCAGTAGCTAATACTAAGGTGTTTTACATTCAAAAATTGGTTGTGAGCCGAGCCCATAAAAAAGAAAGCCAATGCTTACTGTGGCAACATCATTCTTGCTGCTGTCGCTGAAGTGGGCGGTGCCAACCAGGTACACAATACTGCCCTCAGGTGTGGTGAGACGCGTCACAGTGTCTGGAAGGTCAGGCTCTGCCTGTCGGCGCTGGGTACGAACCTGCCACAACACTTCCACCGCCTCGGAGTCTGCTAAAAAGACAAAAACATTTTCATAATCGTAAGAGGTGGAGCAAGAACACTATATACATACAGGTCAAAAATTTGGAAGGATTTTTATTGTTTGGAAAGTTGTCTTAATCTCACCAAGGCTGAAATCTATTTGATCAAAAATTACAGTATACAGAAATATAAAAATGTAAATGAACTGTTTCTATATTTTAAAACGTAATTTATTCCAATGATGGAAAAGCTGAATTTTCAGCAGCCATTACTCCAGTCTTCAGTGTCATATTATCCTTCAGAAATCATCCTAAGATCATTTCTTCGTATTATCAATGTTGAGAACAGTTTTAGCTGCCTAATTTTATTTAAGATAGATCTAAAAGAATAAAAAATAATTAATACTTTTATTTAGCATATTTGGCACATTAAGTTGATAAAAGACAGTAGACATTTATGAAACTAATACATTTTACAAACAAAGTACTATTTATAACAAATGATGTTTCCACCAAAAATATTAAGCAGCACAACAGTGTTTAACTTTAATAGTAATAATGTTTCTTTAACACCAAATCAGCATATTAGAATGATTTCTGAATGACACTGAAGACTGGAGTAATGATGCTGAAAATTCAGCTATGCCACCACAGGAATAAAGTACATTTTAAAATGTATTACAACAGAAACCAGTTAATTTAAATGGTAATATTTCACATTATTACTGTATTTTTGATCAAATAAATGCAGCCTTAGAATGCTTTGGAATTGAATTTAATATATATATATATATATATAAATATATATACCGGTATATATATATATATATATATATATATATATATATATATATGGCAGAAAATAGAGTAGCTGCTACCAGAAATATGTTTAGTAAACTGTTTCAGTGCTGATAATCAAGAGCTCATAAACAAAAGAAAACAGCAATGGAAAGATGGAAAGATGAGTTAGCTGTTTTCCAAGCAGTACTAGAACAAAAACATAGAAAGAATGAGCTTTAGAAAATATGTGGTTTGAACCTTTGTGGTGGTGTGACTTATGGAAAAAGTTGAAATGATTATAACCTGCTGAATTTATAACTTTGCTGAACTAAACTAAGGCTAACACTAGTTAGTTTAGCTACTAAACTAACTAGTATTACTCAGTCCCTCCAGAAAAACGCGATTATGCGATCGCATGATTTAGTGCATAATCAGCCAAAGTCCGCATATTTATGCAGGGCCGCATTTTTTCAGATACGCCGCACTTTCGCCGCATAAATTGCCGATTTCTGTGCAAAATATGCAGGACTTGCATGATTTCATAATCCTCGCATTTTCGTTGCAAAAAAAGTCATATATCTTAGCAGAAAGTTGAAAAATGCTTGTTTCACACAAGAGCAGCCATTTCCCCCTGTTGCCATGGGAACGTTATGAAGTGACGTAATTACGCGACGTGAACATCATCGAAAAGCTGTAAAACAGGAGCACACTTTAATTTTTTATATTTGATTTATTCATTTTTACAGAAGTTGTAGCACATTCCTTTTGTAAAGCTACAGAACTTGTTTGACTCATCAATGTTTTGTAAGTTTGATGTGTTTATTAAGGTCTGAAATAAAACAAGATGAGAACTTAAATATTCCCAGCACTTTCTGTGATGTAGTATGCTTGCTTATCATAGGAAGTAATAAGAATAAGAATAAGCTCTTTACATTAAGGTAGTAGCCTAGTCAGAACAGAGTGTTGGGGATCACTTTTTTTTCTCTTTATCATCAAACCGCAGTTTTTGCAAGTTCCCGCAATTTCATCGCATAAAATTGCATAAATATCCTGCATATTCCATTGCATTTAAGAAAACGGGCCGCATAATCAAGGATTAAAAAACGCCACGTTTTTCTGGAAGGACTGATTACTGCATTGCACTGGAACAATGTTAACAAAAACAAAATTGAAAACTAAATGAAAACAATAAATGAAAAATAAAACCCCTAAAACATATAACTGGGAAAAATGAAACGAAAATAAATTATGACTCCAAAATTTAATAAACTAAAAATAGCCACAAATTAATTTTGGTTTTGATGCATGGTATATTATAGAAGTTGAAACCTTAACAACCCTCCTGTATTAAAATTAAAGTGATACTACTAGACTGTAATAACAGTAGATTGTTCTGAGAAATTTAACATGATTACTTGCTTTTAAATTACACCAGTAACACTTACGTTGGCAGCACTAAAATATTACAACTAAAAATACTTTTCAACTATTTTCCTAATTAATAAATGAACTAATTAATTAAACATTCAAAACTCAAATAACCCTGCACTGAACAAGGAGAGGTTTGAAATGATATAGTATGACATTCCTTTTGAGCACCATTTCGTACAAAACCATATGAAAGAATCCTGGAATTCAGATATACTATTTTGTAAACTTTAAATCAGAGATTACTCACAAAGTCCGAGAGGAAATGGAGGTTGTGTGTCATCTTCTGCCGGGCCAACTGAGTCATCCTACAAACAAAAACAATGTATTATAACCTGTATAATTCTTTGTATGAACATGCTGACAATGTACACAGAACAGGAGGGAACAGGCTTGGCATTCACTTCCAGGAACTCAGAACTTTTGTGGTTTCATTTTCGAGGTTGAGCTAAGGATATTTTAAGCGATTTTGAAGCTTCAGTAAAAATAAATAGAGTGCAAGTGTGCATATTTCTCTATCTTGGGAAATGCCCAGCTAAATAAACAAAAGACCATTATCCAATACTCTCAGTACCCACAAGAAGGCAATAAAGAGACCATGTACATAAATCAGAATGAAAGTCAACAAAAAGCACAGGAAACTGAATGACTCATAAGTTTTACTATGGGATTTTTTTTTATTTCTTCCTTTAACAATTACAAACCACAGATGCCGATTCTATTTATTCCTTTATTATTACAGATAAACATCCATCACCAAGCAAAACAATCAATGTATATATTATTATATTTTAAACTGCCAAATAATACACAAAATACATTCTGCCAAATTCTTACCTCCGAGCTGTCCTGTTCCATTGTCCGCCGTTTAATAAACCTTCAACCTGGAATAAAAGATCATGAGTCAGATGAACAGTGCAAACACAACCCACATATGACTCCACAAAATGGCATTTAACCATTCAACAGAGTTAAACTGTGTACTGGCCTTGCCTGTTGGAAATATGGCTCATTACTAAGCCAGACACTGTGTTTAATTAATGTATTTGAAAGTTTTTTGACTTGGGTAGTTGGGTAGGCTGAGTAAAGTGAGTCATCAGGCTTGACTATCAGCCTGCCATCTTGCCTTGTGCAACTTGACCACGTATACTTTTCAAACTACTGTGATTCCAGCACACCAGTAAAATAGTTGGTGTTAGCTGAGGGTTTAGATATGATAGACATCTCTTTGAAGTTGCACAACAAAGCGTTTTCATGTTGACCATGCAGATCTAATCCTACAGAAGTCAGACATTAAAGGTGACAACCTGCTGTTATCAGACCACCTGGTTAGCACATCAAACCCAAGACAGATTACCGTCTCAACCCTTCAAAACGGGATTGTAAACAGTTAAATTTGGAAGGAAAAAAGCCTCTCGTGCGAATTTTACATTCAAATTGTAAACTGACTGTTCTGACAGAGGACAAAACTAAACCGCAATATCTGATGGACTAGCTCCAATTTCAGCCACCAGTCCGAAAAAGGACCAAAAAATAAATAAAAAAATCTTACATTTGACTTGGTAGACAGCTTGCTCACTCTTCCCACGAGAGTAACGAATCGGACCGGGATCCAACTGTCAGTTGTTGTAGAGAGGGATGGTTCTTGAGAAGGTAACGTTAGCTCGGCTACAGGCTAACTGCGCACACATACACGCAGCTGTTAGCTGCTGCTATGCTAATATAAGCTAAGCCCCTTTAAAACTTTACAGAACTGACCGAGAATAAGTTATTTAGTTCGCTTGCTGTTACGATTATAATAGTGTATTTACATTATAGAGAGATGTAAAGAATAATACAAATAAACGCCTTGACTGTTGTTTGGTTGCTATCTTAGGCAAAAAAATGAAATGATTAAAGTTATAGCTACAGTCAGCTGCTTGCATGAAGTGTGGATCTGTAACACCGCCCATTATTGCAATGCTTCCTGGGTAATGTAGTATAAGGAGGACTGGAGGACAAAGACTATTACAGATGGTTGTATGGAAAAAGGTCGGACTTATACTTAATATATTTGATTAGACAGAGCTAGCTAGGGCGTATCATTTTAATGTTAACGATACTAATGTTAAACAACTTTTTTTTAAATGATGTCGACTGTACTTTCAATTTAATTAATATATTTAACATGAAAAACACTTTATCATTTTAATCACTTAAAACCTTCAAAAATTGTAATTGCATCCTTTGTAAAATGTAATTCATCGTTGTTGTTCAGATAATATTGCAGTAGTCTAACTAAAGACAACATTTTAAAACATGTCTAACATGTTTATTACTTTGATTCATTACCCTGGTCATGACCACTGCCATCCCTTCAACACAAAACCCATGACAAAACCACGCCAGCCAATCCGGGCCCGTTCGTTTATGTGGATTTTACTTTTGACTATTTCACATTATACAGGATTGTTAGGTTCTTCGAAGCTTATCCTGGACTTGCTATCATGGCAATAAGTCCGTAAGCTAACCAGTCATATTTCATGTAAACAATATTTTTCTGGTGAAAGTCTGTCTTCGCTCATTGCTGATCATAGTTTTGAGTATCGATATATCTGACCTTTCTAATGAACACAAGAACATGCAGTAATATCAGGCAACTTAATCCAGAATATTTGAATAATTTGATTAAAATCCGCAAATTAGTTTGAAAAACCAAATTAGCAGAGATCAATTATCACACTTAGAAGATCTGGCATCTGTCAAATCATATCAGAGGTAGATATTAAAGGAATAGGAATTAATAGGAATAAAAAAATATCCCATAATTTACTCACCCTCAAGCCGATGTTTATGACTTTCTTCTTTCAGCCGAACACAATCTGAGTTATATTAAATAATATCCTGGCTCTTCCCAGCTTTGTAATGGCATTGAGTTTTTGAAGCTCCAAAAAGTACATCCATCCATCATAAAAGTTATCCATACAACTCCAGTGAGTTAATAAATCCCTTCTGAAACGAAGCAATGGGTTTTTGTAAGGAATATAGCCATATTTTAAATTTTATAAACCGTAATCACTCGCTTCCGGCAACAGCCATTTGTGGAAAAATCCATCGCTTCGCTTCAGAAGGCATTTGTAATGCAGGGTGAATTCAAAAACAAAGGAGAGCTGGATCCAAATGCAGTTATATTATTAAACAGATTAAAATAACAAAACAAACACGGGATCTAGAAAACCAGGGAAACAGAATGAGCACACAAACAAAACATCAATTTAATGACAAGACTCGACAAGGAACACAAGAAACACTTGGTTTTAATACTAGAGGGCTAATAATAGGCAAACAAGACACACCTGGGAATAATCACAGATCTAATCAAATAGAAAAACTAAAAAGGGCTACAAAAATGCCAATAAACAGTGTAAAATGAAAACTAAAAGTCCCATCAACAAAACACATGAAACACAAGGCCAGGGAATACGTAACAGAGCACCCCCTTAAGGACCGTATTCCAGATGCTCCCATAAAATGAAAAACAACAAACAAGAGTCCAGGAGGGTGGTGGAGCGGAGGGAGATCAGGGGGAGGGATGGAGGGCCAGGCCAGTGTGGAGGTACTGGAGACTGAGGAGGATCAGAGAGCCAGGGCGGAGACGGCAGAGCAGGGGGCCAGGGCAGAGCCTGAGACCACCAAGGCGGGGCAGGCGAAGCTGGTGACCACCACAGCAGATCAGGTGGAGCTAGAGACCACCACAGACCACAGTGGAGCAAATGGAAACGGTGACCACCTCGGCAGATCAGGCGGAACTGGAGACCACCATGGCGGCTTCGACAAAACTAAAACAGAGAACACAAAGAGGTTAGAAACGGCCTCTGTGGCCGTAACAGGAAGCACAGAGGGTTGAGAGAAGGCCACCTTAGCCAATACAGAACAGGTTGAAATTTCAAGAATGGCTTCCTTGGCCGTGACAGGGCCGGCTGATAGTTCATGGACGACCTTTGTGGTCGTGTCAGGGCAGACAGAAACTTCAGGGGTGACCTCCGTGGTCGTATCAAGGCAAAAGGAGTTCAAGGACAATCTCTGTGGCAGTGTCAGGGCACACAGAGAGTTCAAAAACGACCTCCGTGGTCATGCCAGGGCAGACAGAGAATTCAGGAACGACCTCCATGGTCGTGTCAGAGCAGACAGAGTTCAAGGATGACCTCTGTGGTCATTACCAAGTCAATAGAGAGCACAGGTGATTCATAATCTGCCTCCTTGGTTGTATCAGAGCAGGCAGAAAGTTCAGGTGCAGTCGCCGCCTCGGGATGAGCTGTAGTGGTTGCTGCCACCTCAGGAGAAGCTATAGCAGTGTGTGCGGCCCCAAACACACAAGATGGCCTTAGCCATCACAGACAATGCAGACAACGGTGGCAGTAACTCTGGTACCAGCTGACTTGAATACGCTGAGACCACCGGACTTGGCAGCGCTGGGATCCGTGGTGGGCCAGGCTCCGCTGCCATCGAAGCTTGAGGCCCAGCTCCTACCGAGTCTTAGCATTAACAGTACTTACCCAGCTTCCTTGCTCTGAGTGCTCGACCCGTGAGAGCAGAGATCATAAATGCTATCTTGGCTTCATCAGTGGAATAAACGTGTGGCTGTTGAGCGAGAAGTTACTCACACTGTAACAGGAATCCATTACAGCGTGCTATAGCGCCGTCAAACTTGTCCGGAAGCGAGAGACAAGGGTTATAGCCAAAGGGAAGCCAGACAGACGGACTGAGGCTAGCTGTAGTTGAGAGGCTAGCTGTAGCTGAAGGGCTAGCTGTGCTGGGTGGATCGGAGTAAGACGGCAACTGGAGTGTTTGCAAGGACTTGACTAGCTCCTCCGTTAGCGAGGTGAGTTTGCGCAATTATTAATGATGTGAAGAAAGCATGGTCGCTTGGGAGGATACTTTAACTTGTAGTCTGAGAATCTGCATCCATGCTGGATCCATGGTGGGCGAAGTTTTATGTGACGAGGAGGCTTGAGAGTTAGGCTCAATGTGCAGTTTATTAGTTGCAAAGGTGAGAATTACAAAGAACGTGCAAATAATGGCAGCAGAATGGCAAAACTGAGGAAATGGTGACTGAGGCAAACAGTCTGAATAATCCAAATCAGGGGAAGAGGTAAAAATCAAATCCCAAACACACGCAAGGTCAAACAGGTTAATCCAGGCCAAATAATAATCCAAAGTGCTCAGAGATGTTTGCACAGGAAAACAAAACTTCGTGAGCTCAGCATTTATTAACCCACTGGAGTCGTATGGATTACTTTCATGATGGATGGATGCGCCTTTGGAGCTTCAAAAGCCTGGGCACAATTCAATACCATTCCAAAGCTGAAGAGCCAGGATATTATTTAATATAACTCAGATTGTGTTCGGCTGAAAGAAAGTCATATACACCTAGGATGGCTTGATGGTGAGTATTTTTGGCTGAACTATTTCTTTAAGCAAGGTACGATGAACGGACACGCGATGTCAGCAAGCCCTAACACAAAAAACTATTCACAGCCATAGAGTGTTTCTGATTGGCTAAAAAGCATGAGCCGCTCCTCGGAATGCTGTTAACGTTTTATGCGCAACTGTTACAGATACAGAGACAGGTGGGATTTCTCATGATACTGTTCAATGTTTTCTGTGAGTTAGTAAGCATTTTATGCATTGTATATTAAAAAAATCGCTTACAGTATCTTACAACATTGTGAACTTTACACACCTCTTTCTGAGGTTCATGTATAACAGAGATTCAAATTCAAGTATTTTTTCCCCAAGTAAATTATGTAACATGAGTTTAATTAACAATTGAACATGCAGTGTACAACCCATGAGGTAATGTAATTTTTTTTTTCTTTTTAGCATTAATCTATTTCTCTAAGCAGGTTATTTGGTTGAAATGCTGCAGTTCAATACACATATATGAAACTCAAACATTTGTCAAGAATTTGTGACACAAAAATAGACAAAAGAAATGAACAAACAAGCAAGGTGACATGACCATGATTTTTTTTATACATACCTTGTCTAACCCCATTTGAACATATTAAGTTTGAGATTAGTACCCATAAAACCATCAAATTAAATTCAGATCTAAAGATTCAAGCCTGGAAAATCCGGTGTGTTTCCTTCCCCTCTGAAGGTATGGCCATTCATGATCTGTGTTCCCTGTATCACATAAAAAATATTGCACTTTGATCATGATATGTGCTAGAAAAACAGTGAGCTGCAGCTATCCCTAATATCAATCTCATGCCTTGTGGTTAGAGATGCTCTTGGATTTTAATTGTGAATTACTGTGCGCTTCACTCGCAATCATAATAGTGTGTTAAATTCACTACAAGGTGCATTATTGAATATCAAAGGTTTTAACCAGGACTTACAAAGTTGGTATAACACAACCTCCTTAGCTTGAAAATGTCCAGCTGAAGAAGCTGAAATCTTTTTGTCACAACTCTGTCTGTTCAAAAAAGCTGGTATAAGGATCCATTTTTCTTCGGGCAATCCGGAGTTGAATGTCTTTGAGCACTTGGCCCAGAGACCCAGAGTGATATAGTCTCATTGAATAAGGGCACCAGAGGTGTGTGGATGAATGTCATGTGACAGTCTTTTTTTTTTCTTTTTCTTTTTTTTTAATAAGGAAAAATCTCATATTATTAGATGTAAGAACTTTTTTTTCTGTACAGCTTAGTATATACATTCCAAATGTGCATATTATTGCAACAATAAGAAATGAGGTTGCATATTTTAAGAATACATGTATTGCGTTGAATATCTATATGAAACAGACACTGATTGTGTATACAGACAAACAACACAAAACTATGTTGACATTGATGTTAAACAGGAACAAAATGTGTTTTGTGCAAAATTCTGATGTGCCTTTTCCTTCATTTGGAACGTCATAGGGAATTCATTAACCCATATGGTGAGCAACAAGGTCATGACTCATGGGTAATTTTATTTTCCCTCAAGCTACACACACTTCCAAGCATGTGGATGTAAGGCTGGGAGATGATGTTTAAAGGTGCACTTTTTTTTACACAAAGTCTAGTGTTTGTTAATATAAGTGATATACACTCACATGAGATGAAGATACATCAGTGCTCTAAAAAAAAAACACTTGTCGACATTATGGAGCGTTATGGTGGTTGACATATTAAGATCATATGACCAGCCCAATATTTCACTTTACTTCAGATTTATTATTGTCCCTATTATGGGATACTTTTGCTTGCAGAATAAATGAATCATGTCAGACTGCGAAGAGGGCATTTCTGCAGTGACACCAGTAACCGAAAACTCCTGTATCCATTCCATCCTGCAACCACTTTCATATCAGTCAGCTCAACATAAGCAAAAAATAAGTGCACCTTTAAGAGCATAAAATATGTAAAACACTGCCTGCCCCAGTGTTCAATAATCTTCATCTCTGAAAATGAAATAATCTGAGATTCACCCATAGCAAAACCATTAACATAAACCCCAAAAAACAGCATATTCCTTTGTGCTTCAGTTCATATTCTAGTGCGTTTGTGTGTGTGCAGGTGTGTATACATTTCCTTCAACACTCTCCAGCAGCAATCAACTCGCCTGGTCTGGCTAGTCTATCCCTTCTGTTTTGCTCCTCCTCGTCCTCTTCATACAAGGTGTGATGAATGCTCAGCAGCGGGTGTGAGGGGTTTCGACTAAAAGGCCCGGACTGGCTCTCCAGCTCTGCCCCATGGTTGAGAGGATCCTTTGGGGAGTCTGGAGGAGGCACGCTGGTCGTTCCACCATTCATATATGATGTTGTGGAGAGAGTGGCTGTGGAGAAGGTAGTGGTGGTGGACAGTGGAGGAGACTCTTTCTTCTCTAAGGGGACAAAAAGGTGATATAGAATTATCGGTAATACCAATATAAAATAATACACGTTTTATGTCTGATATCAAAATGCTATACTATTGTGTCTAAATAAATAATTATAAAAAAAACTAAAATCAATTGTTTTAAATCCTACCGGTAAATGTAGACCTCACAACATTGTACAGTATAAAAATTGCTAAATTCATTTTGAGATTTGCTTAAGATTTAACAGAACATTTAACAGTGTTTCTAAATTATTACTGTTTTTAAAGATTACATTTAAGTAAGCTTAAGTGGGTGAGTTAGATGACGGTGAAAGAAATGTAAAAATAGGGAAAATGTAAAAATGGGAAAACTAGGCCAATTTATTGCATGCACAATATTGCAGTCCTAACCTAAAATGATTTTTGCACTTCTGGTTCAATAGTTCCAAAGTTCCAAATCAATGGGGTTTCCTGAATGCCTGAAATAAGATTTTTCTAAGCTTTTATGTGTCTTGGGAAAAGGCATTTGCTAACATGGGACTAAATGGGACTACAGAGGTTGTCAGGGACATTCAAGGCAGGGTAGGTGATTTGTTCCAGAAACATTTTTTGTTATGTTGGTTGAAAGTCTCTTCACATCCTGATAGCAATCACTACGTTCAGTGGTCTAAATGTATTTATATGTACATATATCATCTGTGGAAGGCATAGGACCATAAAATGTTCATCCAATCATTGAATTCGGTCCGACTGCAATGATACGATGTCCTACTTGGCTGTCAATGTATGTATTTCCATACCTCCGCGCACCCTGCTTGTGCAGACATCACACCTCAGTCACCGAGCACTGCAACCGAAACAGCTGCCACCTTTTTCAGTTCCTCCTGACCCAAAAAAACGAGCTTATGCTGCGTTCACGCCATAACTACTGTAATTTGGAAGAGATGGAAACCTGTGACGTTATACTCGGAGCGGACTTGAATTTATGCATGTCAACACTATTAACGGCTAAATGAATCTACACTGCTCTTTAAGTTGTTTATGTTCATTATTATTGTAATTTTATCTGCTTTGAGACACGAGGTAGTTTAACGCCGTCTCCCATGACGCTTTGCTCCCTGCTGTACACGTTCATGTGTTTTATAAGAGGTTTAGCTTTGGAGACACTCTGAAGGGAGGGTGGGATCTTATGCTTTCAAAGCTAGCTCGCTACTGCTAGCCTCTCCAAAAATTGCCTACCCTACCTTTAAATGTCATCACATAAAACAGGAAAAGTCATCTACTCACTAGCTCGCTTTTACAGCCTTGTGTTTATTATAGTACTCTTGCAAACTATTTTAACTCAAACTTATAGGGAAATGTTTTTTTAAATAAAGAATAGAGTGGAAGTGACGTTGAAGTCATGTGATCGTGGTATAGTTCGTTTATAGCCTCGTTCATTTGTACCTTTTACTTCTGCCGATTGTATTTAGGCTTTAAAATTCGTTATAGTTGTGTTCATTTGTGAAGATTATCTTGATGTGTACATGTAAGAATAATAAACTTGTGTTGGTCACAAAGCTTTTTTGCGGCATTTATCCAAAAGCTAATGGAACATTTCTATTGGCTTTTTGTGGAGGGAGCCAGGGTGACACTAGCAATGCCAGATATGGTTCTGATATACTGTGCATCTCTAATTCAAGCATACCAGTAAGAGAAGAGGAGACGTGGACAACTGCATGTGGACCCTCGATATACACATTACTGAGAGAGTGCTCAACAGTGACTGGCTCAGGGTTGACTGTCTCTGGTTTCGCTTTCTGGATGGTTAGCATGTAGGGATGAACATCCAACGTGAGGTTAAGAGAGTGTTTCTTCTCTATATTATATGTTTCTGTAGCTGAAAAGTAAAATTAGAAACACGATCAGAGGACGATTTCGACCACATTAGCTATACTAACTTAAACCAGGTTTTACTTTGGCATTACTTATGCTTGTAGGAGGATGTTGTGTGCTCTTGCTGTCCAGAAGTGGAGCCATAATGCTATCTGGTACATTCTTCCTTCGGACTGGTTTAGGTTTATCTGCCTTTATACTATTATCCAGTCTGGTTAGAGTCAAGGGTTCCTGTATGAAAACAAATAAATATAAGGTACATTTCACTAATGGAAGGACCATACATAGTAAGCTATTCATTCGCTAAATATGAATGAGAACCTCGAGTCAAGTCTTACTTTAAAAGACTGTGGCAAAGGATTAGATGAGGGGATCCACTTCATCTTCTTGCGGGGTCTTTTGATTACTGAGGGCTCTCCTCCCAGCTCTCCCACACCGAGCACTGACGGGTCCATACTGGGGTCAATAGTCTGGATACCAGAGTCTCTCATAGTCGGAGTGGCGTCGTGATTGGATTGAGCCAATGCTGCCAGCAGCTGCCGCACCACATTATCATACATGAGGTCACTCTCATTTGTAATAAAGTCCAGTCTGTTGAGAGACTTAATGTGGTCTCTGTTCTCATTACAGAACATAGCCAGAATGTTAATGTCGCAAAACTGTGACTTCTGCCAGCGCCGACGTGTTTTAATGCCAACTTTGTGCAGCTTGTCGAAAACGAAATTGGACTTGCGTACTACAAACAAATGCAGCAAGTTCACAAGGATAATGAGGTTCATAGTACACAGCAAAGAGATGTCCACCGCGGCCATAATGCGCTGGAGCTGCACGGCTGGTAGCTTGCAGTTGACATTCAGTCGCAGTTCAGGGATGCTGCTAGTGTCCGGCGGCTCGCCAAGCGCGCAAGTGAACTCGTTCTGCCGCTGACGGGCGTAGTAGGTGCTCAGGTAAGTTATGGGCATTGAGCTGAGGCAGATGATGGCTAAATGTCGCCCCAGGTACAGCTTCGCCAGAAAGTTACTCTGCCCTCTGCGCTCAAGATACTTTTCAAACAGGTTCTGCTCTGGGCTCTTCTCCTTCTCTGCATTCTCGATGATCTCCCGTCGCTCACGCTCCGTAATCCCCGGCCCCTTAGACTGGATCTGCTTTTCAATCTTAGGCGCTCTGCCCTCGGCCGCCCTGTGGTAGCAGTTGTCGATCTCTTGAAGGAGGAAGTTGAGCTCGGAGGTGAGGCGAGTGGAGGCCAGGAACTCCCATCCAAGGGCAGGTATGTACATGATGCCTGCGAAGGCCAGCAGAGCGTAGGGCAGAAACTTGTGCTCGAACAGGGAGGGCCGAAGATCGGGGTCGACACCGGGAACAGCATCCCGAAGCTCTGTCCAGCAGTAACCTCTGGCATACAGGGCCTGGTCTCGGGTGAAGTTGTGTGGGGTGTAGCAATATATAGATTCCTCTAAAAGAGAAGGAGATAGAAAATCATAAGAATCCCACTTCACAAAATAATCGGGATTTTTGCATAACAATTAATTAGATACCACCAGTGTTAAGGCCTGGAGACATCAAGAATGATAACTATAACTACAATGATTAAATAATTGTTCTAATTCTAAGAGAATAGCAAAGTCCACACCACAACTATTAATAATGATAACGGAAAGCAATTTTTTTTTTTTCTAGTTGATGAATCGATAAAAACATTGACAGAGAAACAGAATTTATCAGATTTTAAAGAGCTCCAGGAGACATAATAAACATTTATGTTAACGTTTTGTTAATTGAAATAAAAAAATAAATATTAGATGAAAAACTTAAGCTAAATGAAAATTAGAAATGCTGTTGGCATATTACTGCAGATGAAAATGTTCATTATCAAAGACTTTTTTATTTCAACTAAAATGTTATTTTCATCAACTAAACTTAGCTGCCATTTTAGTTGAAAAGACAAAAAAAAAAACTAAATCTTTGTAAAAATGAATACTGTAGCTATATCACTCACAACTGACTCTGTCCAGGAAAATCTGGCAAACGGGGTATCCCGCTGGGATTTGTTTCTAGTAATGAGCTGTCATCAGGTTTCTATCAAGTGGAATGGGTTTACTGCATAGTGTAAGGCAGCACAGGCCAATCTAATGATGAATCAGTAATAAAAAAAAATGCTCCATTTGTCTGTGCCAGCTGGACAAAGACTGAGATAATTCTTTCACAGCTGCTGTAACTCCTATAGACGCCTCCACCTTACTCTGGGTCTCAGTAGATTACACTCCTGCGCAGAATCGATAATGTAAGTTAAGCAAGATAATATGTTATATTTGGTGTGTCTAGATGGGAATGACCTCTTAATGGTTACAGGCTCTACTTTTTCTTTCAGTGCTTTCAAGTTTCAGACTATTCATTGTTCTTGCATTTTATCCTATAAACAGCCTCAGCCAACATGACAATGAGGGTTTGACCTTCACTAATCCTCTTTCTTGATATAATAAGTGCTCCTAATGAAAAATATTGTAACGTAGTAGCCCTCAAATGATGTGAAAAGGCAACTTAAGCTGCAGTCTCACAATTTTTCGAAGTGTAAATGTTTGTATATCTCCAACAGATCTAAAGTATACTGCATGTTTTTGCCCAGCAGGGTTCTCAATGTTCAGTCACAGCCAGTTGGTGCTGCTATGCAGTAAGACTGACTCAGCGTTTAGAGTAAAACCCCCCCTCCTACCACCACAACCCCTCTTTATATATCTCTCTCTCTCTTCCTACTTAATCACCCCACAATCTCTCTAGAAACAATCTTTTAACCACTCCTCTGCTGGATACTAGTGGACAACAGGAATATAGAAAGTCCTATAGAGCGATTAACAATGGGTCAACTTTAAAAACTTGGCAGAAATCTGGCACTGTCACCAGTGCCATTCAAGTGTATATCCAAAAATATTTCTGATTTAGAGTGTAATACCATATCACAAATTTTTCATAAGTATTAAGTGCGTTCAATCTAAGCATGTTTCCTTCCATACATTTTTATGAAAATTGTAGGATTTTGCATAAAAAATACTGGATGGAGAGGAGACACCAAGATGTGAATAAAATGCCAATATGTTCACACTCAAATGAGGTGTATAAATGGTTTAATGGAAAAGAAGCACATAAAGTATTAAGGAGACACATTCACCAAATAAATCCCTGTAAGTGCATCAGAAAGTCATATGATTGCTCAGATTATAGGTTATTATCACCGTTTCGTTGCTCATTTGCATAAAGTTGAGCTCTGCAGTTGCTCATGTCTTCAGAAATCCCTAACTCTTATTAAAAACGAATGGCTTTCAAAACTCTTGTCGCTGAATATTGCAAGGTGTTCATCATGTACGTTTGTCCAAATAATGCGTAACACCACTAACCTGCAAAGTTCCGTGTGAAAACTAATGTAACCAGCAGAATAGGGATGATGACAGTCCCTATGGTGACGACCCGGTCAAAGGGCAACTCTAGTTTGAGTTGCACCATGAGACCTGCGAGAACCCCGCCTTTCTCATCCTGTGTGGAACCTGGCAGGATCAACTCCTTCAGCTTCTCACCCGCAAGCAGAGCCGTGGCCATGTCCAAGTTCTGCTCGAAGATGTTCTGCATCCGGTCCCAGCAGCCTGCTCGCCACTAACCTCACAACACTCCTGATGGGAATCGAAGCTCCTCCTCCTACTCCTAACCCGTCAGCCAATGGATTGGCTGAGGGCTTTGCCCTGCAACAATATAATGAGTTATGTGTAAGAGGTGTTGAGTTTAAGGATGAAAGTGGATCTTCTAAGAGTCACAAAGGAAGCTTTGTGATCAGCCTGAGTTGATGGGTTATTGATGGCTGATCTTGTCAGAGGTAGATTGAAGAGATCAGATGATTTGTTGTTGTCGCTTATATTGACAGCTGGGATGAATTTGTCATCCTATCTATTCCATTCTGCAAAAACCTGTAAATGAACAAGAGAGTTCATTCAGAATCTGAGTTGACTTCCATAGTATTTTTTTCCAGCATTACCAAAATTCTAAAAAATATATTCTTTGTTTAAGAATCTCTAACAGGTTTGGAACAATTTGAGGTTAAATAAGTGGTCAACATTTCGTTTTGGGTAAACTATCCTTTTCACAAGCAAAAATAAAGCTACTAAACCAAAATATTAAATAAATTAAAATAAAAACTTCAATTCAAAACATATTCTTGATGTTGGTGATAACGTAGTATCTATAAGCATAAAATAAATCTATAACCATAAAAGTAGCCTATATTGCTTTTGCTGCTGCACGTTCAGACTCTATGAAAATGCATATTCCTTTAATTCAGAAACCAATGGAGTGTGCCAGGTGTGGCTCTCTGCAGAGTCCTTCGAGAGCATACTAGTGTGACAAGGACAAAAGGACACAATGACATCCCTAAAGGCTTAATCATTCAAGACAGTCCAGATTAGAGATGCTTTTTTGGTCTTAAACTCATTGGAAAGTTTTATTGTATACTTCTGAACTATAGATGGAAGCTTGATATGTTGCATTGTGTCTTTGCCCATGGCATAAAAACACAGACAAGAAGCTGTCGTACATTTTGAAATCAATATATCTCGCTTTGAGCTCAAGAAATCAATAAGGAACAGCTTTATAACAAATGGAAAGCACAACAAAAAACAGTAAGAATTCCAAGTTAACTTAAAAACAAATTTATTTTTGGGATGAAGTCAATCAGTTTTTCAAATTAATGCATTAAACATATTTTATGTTCATCTAAATATTTAAACTAAGCAATGTCTTAATGGTCAGAGCTGTGTTTATGATTTACTTATGCAAATATATAATAATATTAATATATAATGAATGCAAAAAGTAAATAAAAATGTAGTAAATGCCCAATAAAAATGTCTAAAAATGCAGAAATGTTTTTAAAATAAAGAAAGAAATATTCAACCCGCAAAATAAATAAATGTTTGAATTAAATGCAGGAATAAATACTATATATTTCATGGGATGAATCGTAGAAGTATTCAGTATCCTCTCTTGTATGTGTTTTACTTTGGCCTAGTTATGGACAATTTGTTCCTCTGAGACACATGAACAGCAGGTTTGATAGAACTCAAAGAAGTTGATAGTGATACGAATGTGTCATGCAAACTTAAAGCAACAGCAGTGATGTAGTAGGCTATCTTTTAACATAACACAGCCTCAGACACAATCTAGTTTTATCGACTATATGCTGTAGACACTGTCCGACATACTGACAATGTTTAGGTGCATTAAAGGTAAAATGCACATCACTTACGCTCAGTCGAGGAGCTGTCCATCACCGGATCATCAGGCTATCCGGCATCATCACTGGCTAGAAAGACATATAGCGACTTAAGACACAGATATGATCAAATACATGCTACTATATGGCATGAGTGAAAGAGATAGGCTGCATTGATTCTCATCGTCATGATGTCACATACCTGTCAGATTACTCGATTATATTGAGGAGCACGCAGAGCCTGAATCCCATGCTCAAATCAACAACACCAGGAGTCAGGACAGATCTCTTTCTCTTCACAACGACCACCAGATCTCCAAAAAAACAACAACGGACGCGGATACAGTGACTTGTGCTTTATTGTTGAGCATCCCCGGCGTCTGTAGAGTTAATCTGCAGTGCGGGCGAGCCGTTTCAGCGTGTATCCGGGCACACACACCGGTTTGTTCCGCCTCTCGCCATCCCTCTCACTGACAAACCTCACACACTTCTCCAGTTCACACGATCATCTTCACACAGACCTTCAGTTAACATGGGCATCGCTTGTTCTGCCTTGCACAATAGGCTACTATCGTTAGTTGGCTATGAGTGCGCATACGATAAAATAGGCTTAACCAAACGGCGACAGAAAACCATAAGGATTAGTAGCCTAGCCTGTAATAGGACAATATGTAATATAATATATAATCAACTTTTTCCCTGTATAATCTGTCAAACATGTAATCGGTTTTTTTTTTGCGCTGTAGCCTAGTTACTGTGCATAAAAAATCCACCAGCCCTGTTTCTATTCTATTCTATTCGGTGTTCTACTCTATATCTTATGTATTATTTTTAATGTTCACTGTAGGGTTAAATTTGGGAAGATGTTTTGGTTATTGTGCAGTAGCGTTTATTTATTATATAAAATATTTATTTTTATATATTATTATTATTAATTATTATTATATATTTATTTTATTATAACTTATTTTATAGCAAAATTTTATTTAGGCCTTTTTTATATTTATAGGGCAAAATTATTTATCAGAAAAATAAAGACGATTAAGAAGTAAAAGAAATTTGTTTAAAATCATGTAAATACACTGTAAAAAAAACCTTACACTTTTAAGTACAATCAACTAATGTTTAAGTCTTTCAACTTAAATGACATTAAACGGACTTAAAAATAAGTTGAATATTGTATAACAAAAAAAGTTGAAAATACTTTTGATATACTATAGCAAGACATAGTTATGTAGTGTTTATTAATCACTTTGGTCTATCATAACATATTCGCTAAATGTAAAAAAAACTATATTATATTAAATGGATAGTTCAACCAAAAATGAAAATATTCATTATTTACACAACAATTCAAGAAAGTCATACACGAGGGTGAGTAAATTAAGAATTTTGATGAACTGGTTAACTGCATGTCCAACCCTGTTCAGTGTTCTCTATTTTGCTGTATTTATTCAAGACTCCAACTGCACTTGGACTAAAACCTGAACAAACATACCAAGCTGTTACGTCACTATCTGGAATAATTTGTATTCACATTTCACATAAACAGTCTTTAAAATTTTATTGATCTACAACAACATCACAACATGCACATATTTATACAAAAATAAAATCTAACAAAGTAAAAATGGTTGCACGCAGCAAGGTAGTGAACAGCATATGGTCCATTAAAGTGTGTTAGAATTATTAAATGCATCATATATTAGGTCCCCTACTCTTTCAACATCCAATATGGGATTTCTAAATAATGCATTAAAGTGCTGTGGATTGTACAAGCATGGTGTGTTCACCATTTATGTGCATATAAACTTGCTCAGTCGTTCGACCATCACATATGATTCTATTTTCAAACTGGAAATGTAGGCTATATTCATGATTGTGAGACACAAGTTTAAGGATCTTTACAATAGACTTTTCAAAACCCATCCCACATTTTTACTTTTACTTATATTATACTGTCATTCAATAATATCTTTGACAGACACTACTGGTGTACGACTCATAAATGTAACAGATCAGATGACAGAACTCTTAAGTTTTATACCCCGAAAAGTAATGCTTCTCTTCCAACTGACATTCTCATCTTCCATATTTGTACATTCACTTTCTTTCTCAGTGTATTTCCTTCTGTTGCCTGTATCTTTGGTCACTGGGCCATTTGGACCACCACTGCTTTCCAGGCCTTTTCTTTGTCAAAATCCCTTAGTGTACCATTTGATGTGTGTTGCTGTAAGAAAAGAATGAGATGGTGGAAAAGAAATGGTCCAACAACCACCTTGAGATCTTCCTTTGTTAATCACAACATCCCCCATGCGTGTTTTCACGGAATCAAAGGAGCGGAACAACTCTGCCATTCCAGTGTGATTGTGTTTCATGCTACATTTGGCACCGTACAGTACAGTTTTTCTTTATTAATTTTTTTTGCTAACATCATCTGCAGTTAGTCACATAGTATATCACACACGGTACAACATTTCATGTACTCTTAAATTGACCCGTCAGTCATTGTATAGGGTGTATGTTTGTGTGTTTACCTCACAGTGCTTTTTGTGTAGCGTGTCCCATTCAGTACGTCCCATGCGGAGCTGGCTCTTGTAGGAAGCACACTTTATTACGGTGGCTAACGTCAGCACCGCCTGCACCAGCAGCAGTCCCATCAGGACAAGCAGCAGTATGTCATACGTCTGCTGCATGCACAACATTCACATACTTAACACGCTTCAAACTACCTTCAAGATGTGAAGGTGAACATGTATCTGAATTCCTAGTTTAAAGGGATAGTTCACCCGGCCAGAACCTGCATGCTTCTTATCTGAACTGATTCAGCAGTGTTGTTATTTTTAAACTATTAAAAATGGTTTTCTGTAAGATGAAAAAAAAAAGATTTTTTAACCCCTTAAGTGTCACGGGCCCACCGGTGGGCCCAAATCCATTACATTTTTAAAACAGTAATATCCTATACTAAACCTAAACTAATCTTGACAAACTATATATCATTTGAAAGCTTACAATCTCTAGTTTCCATATTTGGTGATTGATTTTCAAAATAAATTACAAAGGAGCCGTAATTTATCAATTTGCAACAAGAATATTTTCATACTCCTAAGGCGTAATTAGACCTTTATTTTGAAATAGCAATGAACATGAAAAATCATGAAAGAAGGGTAGAAACCTAGTTTGTTTTCATGCCAAGAGTTCAAAAGATAGCATCCATTCAATTATTTTAGATTTTTTTTTTTTTTTTAATATAAAGAAAAAAATGATAATTTTTAGGAAGCTAAAACGCACGCGTGTTCTTTTTATGTTTCTTAGAGGTTGAATTCATATCAAAATCTGCCAAACTTCTCCTATTACTTCTGAATAGGATGTCTACTTCATAAATTGTATGAAAATTGTGGAAATAATGGTTCATATCACTCAAAACACATTTGGAAATGGAGGCGCCCTTATATGGGCAGTAATGGAGTCTGGTTGTCATCTAGTGAAAAGGTTTGGTACTGCGCCCAAACAAAATCTTACTGAAAGCTCATTTTTTGAGATATCAACCTAAAATTTGAAACACAACTTGTTCAGATTTTTGGCTTTGATTTTTTTGCAGTTTTAGAAAATATATATTTTATATAAAATATGAATAATTAAATTTTTTACATTGTACATTTTCATAAACTCAAACTTATATAACTTTTTTTCTGTTTCACTTTCTTAATTTATTTCACTTCTACAAAAATCTGCCAAATGTCTTCTTTAAAACAAGACCAATCCTACGTCTATATTCCAAAGCATTCTTGAATTACAACCATTTAAGTTCGAAATGTGCATTTTCATGTATATTCAAAAAAAGGGGGTGACACTTAAAGAAATTTGAAGAAAAAAATTAAATAAATAAGTTTAACGTGTAGTATTAAAATGACAAAAAATAAAAATAAAGGCTAAATGGAAATTTATTTATTATTAAAAATGAAGAGCAGCTCTCAATTAAAATACTGTTTGGTCACAAAACATGTCAGAAACAATGGTGTTTGATGATGTCATTGATATCCAACATGATTTCACAACTGCAGCACAGAAGAATATTTTCATCACAGAGTAATATTTTCAACAGGGACGTGCACAGGAATTTTGTGGGGCAGTTGCTCTGACCTGAAAAAAGGGCACTACCCCCAAAACTCACGGGCTATATGAAGGAATATATTCAGTTGAATTTTGCCCATACAAATTGCCTTATCTGATCGTGTTAATGTCCAAACACAATGCCTCATATTATGGTCTTATTATTATTTATAAAGATTGCAAACGTCAAAGATGACAGGTTTATGATATACAACTTTGTAAACAGTATACAAAATGTATTAACAATATGTTAAATGTCACCAAAATACACATGAGAAAAAGAGTTCCTCATATTATTGTTTATTGTTTTTTAATTATTATTATTTTTTAATTTTTTTAAATAAATAATCTGGATTGAATTGACAGATGGGGAAAAACTCGCTTCTAATAAAAAAAAAAAAAAAAACGCTTAGATTTCGGAATAAATACAATCCTTTTTTAACCTTTTGGCTTCCCGTACATTCAATTGTGCTTTTTGCTCATCTGGGCAACTACGCATGATTTGTAATATGATTGCGTAAAGGGAACAGGAATTCCGGTAAGGAACAGAATCGACTGCTACACCCAGTGCCGATCCTGACCTCCCCCTCGGGCCCTAAGCAAAATTCTGCTACTCTACCTGACCCGTGATGTCATGAGCTATGTAAACCATTTGCCGTTGCCACAGTCACACCTGACACTTCAGTGCTCCTAATACAATCCTCCCTCCTTTAAACAAAACAGTCAAAGAATAAGTACAACAATATAGAACAGAATGAGGTTCAAACACACAATATTTATTGAATAGAGTATTTTCTATAGAATGTTAAGATAATAAGTGAATATTATTAAGTAAGTGAATATTAACGTAAACATAAATAAGAATAAAATAATAAATTATAACCCTGAGCTTTGGCTTTTGGGATTAACTTTGGTTCTCTCTACAGCCTGGGCATTTTCGGCATCAGTATGATTTTTCATTTTTTTATTATGCATGTTGAAGCAATTCTTGATTTATGGTTATTATTTACTGAGGGATGTGCATCCATATTGACCAGTATGTCCAGCTAATCAACATTTTAAATTCAATATAGCCTATAAATCAATAGTCAATCAATGTCAAATTGTCAATACATTGCTTTCTATCATAATGTGTACTTTGATTGGGAGTGCCATCATTCACGTGCATGTATTGTACAGTATGTCTGGTCTCCACATATTTCTGCTTGAAAAATGCGAGTTTCATTTCGTGCACGCGCATATGAACGCACGATAACACACGCGACGCGGTTATGTTTTCCGAGCTGCAGTAAACAAACACCGTTGCACTTTGTCGTTTATCAAAATCAAACGTAATAAATAATTGTATTTTACTCTCACTTTTGTCAGCCACAAAGTGATGCAAGAGATGCACTGCCTGCCCAGCTAGGTTAGCAAGACCGAAAAACATCAAACTTTGCTGACATCAAACAGAGAGGAGAGAACACAAGTTTACCTGATTGTTGTTCCCGCAATTCACTCTCATGGTTTTTTTCTTCTTCCTCTTTTCGTGACCAGAAGGATAGTTTCGCTTCATTTTGTCGTGGATGTTGTAGCTACACATTTGACGGCGCGCTATGACTATGACACGAGATGGAGGCGTGGCCTTAAGTAATTTGCGTGGCCCTACGTTTGCCCTTCATACTGACTTTCACTATCGGTGCCCGAATGGAAGTGAATGAGGCTTTGCGATTTTTTTTTTAATCTAGGCCTACGTGAAATTCTGCATCCATTGTACGATTTCATTTTTTTCTCGGAAGGGCAACTTGAGTGAGAAGGGCAACTTGAGTGAGAAGGGCATATGGGCAGTTGCCCGGGCAACCTGAGCAACCCCCCTGTGCACGTCCCTGATTTTCAATATTTAATGAATGTACTACACTGAATGGACTAAGTTTACATGCTTTTTTGGTGTTTTTTTTTAATTTTATTTTTTTTATGGCAGACATGATCCCTATGAACTGTCTTATGGAAAGTATGTTTTTTCATAGAAGAATAACATCATATTGGGTTTGGAGAACAAGAGGGCAATGTTATTTTACTATTATTTATCTACTATTATAGTATTTATTATTATTTTGAATAACCTTTAATTTTTTTATTTTGAGTTAATTTTAGTAATTGTATTACTGTTAGTTTTGTCATTTCTAGAATTATGTTTAATTAATTTTCATTTCAGTTTTAGGTTTAGTAATTTAGTACTTCAGTGTAAACATATTTATTTCAATTAGCTGCCAAGGCAACATTCTAATTTTCATTTAAGCTTTCAAGGTTTTCATCCAATATTTATATTTTATTTTATTTCAGCGTTATTTCAATTACCAATTAAAAAAAAAAAAAAGTTTTAGTTTAGTTTGAGATTCTCAGTAGTTTGGCTCATTTGACTGACAATAAAGAGAACAGGATTGGCAGAAACCTCTGTTTAACAGAATCATAAATCTGATATCATCATCTTAACCTTAAATGCTAAATACAATGTACTTCACCTTAGTTTTTCATGTGATCTTATGTCAGGATCTAGAATCAGCAGATCTTAAACCGATTCTTAAATCTGCAATCCCACACAACACAGCATGAGGGCGAATAAATAATTTTAATTTTTGAGTGAGCTATCCCCTTAAGGGGTCAAAAAGGTCCAAATCTGACATACTGGAACTAATTTGAGTTGATGCACAGAAATGACTCACCTTGACTAATGTCACTTCATGCAGAAAGATCTCAATAAAATTAATCACACTGCTGGACAAGAATCCAGAAGCAGAGAAAAGCAGTGGTGATGTCACACTACTTATAGCAATCAGCATCTCCACCTACAGCAGTGGAAAGAAAGAGAAAAAAAATAAGGAGAGAGAGAATCACTCTAAGAGAAAGCATGCAGGCAGCTAAATGAATGAGAATAGCGAATGTCCTTAAGGGACGTTTGATTGCATTGCTTTATTGCTGGAGAGACCCTGATGGTGACTCACCAGACTCTTGCTGGGGTATTCTGCCACCACATGGCTGGCAATGGCACTGGGGAAACACTGCAGAGGGATCACATCACACACAAACAACCATCAAGAACCGAACGGAATCATTTATAATCTGAAATGGAATAATATTTTATATAATAAGCTGAACTCACAGCTACCAGAATCCAGAAGAAAGTGACAGAAAGGTATGGCTCTGGGAGGAGAGCACCTAAATTGAGAGCAATAATTCCTCCGAATACAGCGGCGATGCCCAGTATAACCTCAATTACCTGCACCAGAGAAAGAGCAGCAGATCTACAGTGTTCTTTGTGTTGATATACAGCGGACACAGACACATACACTCACATATGATCTCATTTGTAAGCAACTCACGGCATAGGCCTTGAGAAGACGTGTGGGGAACGAAGCTGGGGTCACAACCACAGGGCCATCAGACACTGGCTGGAGGAAAGAGATGGATGATAGCAATGAGGAAAAGAAAAAGAGCAGAGAGACATGAGCACATATGAAATGCAAATCGCATAAGCTATAGAGACAAATACAGTAAGTCAGACATATCACATGGTGATAATAGCTGGCAGGGATTTAGCATAAAAGGATTTTGCAGTTATTTTGGATTAAGACAAATTTTACCGCAAGAAAAGTCTGTAAAAATAGGACCCAAAGTACTGCATTCATTTTTCACGGGTGTTAAACCTGTATTTTTGCATTGAGTTTAGGATTTTAAGGAAATGTCCATAAACGGAATGGATAATGTTCTGGCAGAAAATGACCAGTAGCTTTACATTTTCCTATACAGATTTATTTAACAGTGTGTCTCAGTCAGATAGAAAGAAAATGAAGATAATTCAATTGAATCTCAATTTCCACTAAGCAAGCATAATTCATAATGAAATATCGTAGATCATTTTTTGATTGATTACACAATTTGCATAAACACAGGCCAAAAATGATGATATACTGCAGTCAGTCGATACACATAAAAGGTCAGAAACACTTTATACACACCCTGCAGTGTCTGCAACAGTCCTCCGCTGAGCGAGCTGATAGGATAACAGTACTAGCCGTGAGCACTTCCAGCACAATAAGCAGGAGCAGGTTAAAGTTAATCTTTAGGATGACAGATAGCAGTAACTGTTTTAATTGTATATATCTTTACATGAACATCATAGCTTACTGTCTGTAGAGCACTGTAACATGAGTAAACATGCAGTTTATTTAATATATAACCTTAAGAAACCTTATTTCTTTCAAATCCTTTAAAATGACTTTTGCTTTGCTATTGTCATATTATAAAATATACTAGGCTTGTGCAAAACCATTTAATTTTGGATATTACCACATGAAACACATATTTTTTAGGTTACCTGACAAACATTTTAGAGGTATTAGAGTTGTGATGTTCTCACATTGATGGCTGAGGGACTAATGGCGAGTTTACATCCGAACCACACCAGACACGTGGTTGTCACAGCAAAGGAGGACACGTAGACCAATTGAAAGTCTGAGATCTGTAAACATAATATAGGTTACTTACTGTATTTGTGAAAAATGTGAATAAGTATTTATCTACCAAAAGAAAAAAAACTCAGGGTGATTATACAGAAGAATACACCATGATTTATAGATATGAATCGAAAACTTGATTGATGAACAGTATTTGACTAAATATTATATTGATTTTGTAACGGAGCAGGCTCCCGCACCACCTCCTCTTCACCACCGGAGGGAACCGTCTCCGGAATATTAACTTTACCCATCGAACTCCAATTCCCATCATGCCTCATACATGGGACTGATTGCACTCACACCTGCACCTCATTCACACACACTCATATAAGCCTCATTCACACACTCATTCAGTGCGAAGTCTTGATCTGCCCCGGCCATCATTTCTGAGCGTTATTTCCCGAGTTTTGTTTCCTGTGTTTGATCTTGGATTGTTTATCGTTGCTGACCCTTCTCTGCCTGCCCTGACCCCGGACTGTTTACTGGACTCTGATTCTTCTCTGCCTGCCTCGACCCTTTGCCTGTTTACCTGGTTTGTCTCAGCCTTGCCTTCTCTGTTCTGTTTGCCACTGTTGGACCCTGCCTGTTTTGATTATTCTAATAAATGCTGCAAATGGATCCTCCTGACTCCGCCTCATCACAACAGAAGACTTCGCCAACACTCGATCCAGCAGCAGTCATGCAGCTCGCCACTGAGGTATCTGCTCAAGCTTCCCAGTTATCCTTGCATCACCATCAGCTGAGCCGACTCACTTCTCTCACAGAGGATCTGGTTCAATCACTGCAAAGCTTGCGAATATCAACCTTCAGCGCGCCCGCTGAACATTCACAAGGTGCATCTTCCCACGCTGTCAACACTTCCGGCCACCCTCGTCTTGCTTTCCCTGAGAAATTTGACGGCAACCCAACCAAATGCAAGGGTTTTCTGCTACAGTGCACGCTTTACCTCCATCAGCAACCATCATTCTACCCCAATGATGCTGGATGTATGGCATTCGTTTGTTCACTACTCACCGGAAAGGCATTAGAATGGGCTACGGCAGTTTGGAGACCCGATGGTTCTGCATTTCCCTCATTCACTGGGTTTCTGCAGCAATTCCGTGATGTCTTTGAACACTCCACTGCAAAAGGGAATCCGGGAGAACAGTTGTTAACTCTCTCTCAAGGACGAAACACCACTGCCGAGTATGCTCTCACTTTTCGCACTCTCGCGGCTCAAACCAACTGGGTCGAGGATACTCTTAAAACACTCTTCAGGAAGGGACTAATAGTCGAGTTACAGTCTGAGTTGACCTGCCGAGATGAGGGCCGGAACCTGAATGAATTCATTGATCTCGCCATCCAGGTTGATAATCTGATGCGTTCTCGCCGCCACCCTAGAGCCCCACCACGATACACACACGAAGCCGCCACGGCACCCGAGCCCATGCAACTGGGGTTCACCCATCTCTCTCCAGAGGAACGAGAACGCCGCCAGCAAAACCGCCTCTGCCTGTACTGTGGTCAGCCAGGCCACATGAGAATCGATTGTCCCATTCGCCCTGCCAATAGGACCCAAGCGGTGAGTAACAAAGAGAATCAATGTACATCCAACCTCTTACTACCCATTCGTTTGTCCGTCCGGGACCAAAGCATTTCAACCACTGCTATGATCGATTCAGGAGCTGCGGGGAACTTCTTTTACCGCGAATTCGCTTGTTTACATCAGCTAAAATTTAACCCCTGTTCTTCTTCTTTGACAGTGGAGGCGCTAGACGGACGCCCCATCGGAGGGGGAAGAATTCACCAGGTGACTGAAGAGATCACAATGCACATCGGGGTCCTGCACTCTGAGAAAATTCAATTCTACGTCATTCAAGCTCCACATCATAGGATAATACTCGGTCTGCCTTGGTTACGCATCCACAATCCACAAATTTCTTGGAGAGAGGGTCAAATCACTCAATGGGATGTCACATGTCACGAACACTGCCTGAATAGGATCACTCAAGTTCCTCAACCCATCTCAACTAACCCCACTTCTGATCAACAAGAGATAAAACTCCCTCCAGAATACGCAGATCTAACTGAAGCCTTCAGCAAGAGGAAAGCATCACAACTTCCTGAACATCGTTCCATTGACTGTGCCATCGAACTCATGCCCGGAGCCGTTCCACCTAAAGGTCGAATTTTTCCCTTATCTCAGCCTGAATCTGAAGCCATGAAGCAGTACATTGAGGAGGAATTAGCCCAAGGTTTCATTAGACCCTCAACATCTCCAGCATCAGCAGGTTTCTTCTTTGTTAAGAAAAAGGATGGAGGGTTGAGACCCTGTATTGACTATCGTGGACTCAATGAGGTGACTGTTAAGTTCCGCTATCCCTTACCTCTTGTTCCAGCCGCTCTCGAACAACTCCGCCAGGCCAAATATTACACCAAACTGGACCTTCGCAATGCCTATAGCCTCATTCGCATTCGGGAGGGAGATGAATGGAAAACGGCGTTTTCAACCAGCAGTGGGCACTATGAATATTTGGTTATGCCGTTCGGCCTGTCTAACAGTCCTTCTGTCTTTCAGTCATTCATGAATGATGTTTTTCGGGACATGTTGGATAGATGGGTGATCGTATACATCGACGACATTCTAATTTTCTCGAATTCCCTAGAAGAACACATTCAACACGTCAGAATGGTTCTGAAATGTCTACTGCAGTACCAACTATACGCCAAAGCAGAGAAATGTGAGTTTCATCAAACCAGCACGTCTTTTCTTGGGTATATAATCAGTCGGGAGGGAGTGGCTATGGACGACAAAAAAGTCAAAGCAGTGTTGGACTGGCCCTTACCCCAAACCGTCAAAGAATTGCAACGCTTCCTGGGCTTTGCCAACTTCTACAGACGTTTCGTCCGAAACTTCAGTACTGTAGCCGCTCCTCTCACCGCCATGACCAAACGCCACACCAACCGGCTGCAGTGGAGCTCAGAAGCAAATCAAGCATTCGACAGACTCAAAGCCCTGTTCACTTCTGCTCCCATTCTCCGACACCCAGACCCAGCGCTTCAATTCATCGTGGAGGTGGATGCCTCCAACACAGGAGTGGGGGGCATTCTCTCACAACGCCAAGATGATCCGGAAAAAATGTTCCCATGTGCTTTCTTCTCCAGGAAATTGTCTCCAGCGGAGCAAAACTACGATGTAGGAAACCGTGAATTGTTGGCCATGAAACTCGCTCTCGAGGAATGGCGACACTGGCTGGAGGGAGCAACCCAACCCTTCATTATCCTTACCGACCACAAGAACCTTGAATACCTTCGGTCAGCCAAACGTTTGAACCCCCGTCAGGCCAGGTGGGCCTTGTTCTTCACTAGATTTCAGTTTACTGTCTCCTATCGTCCAGGGTCCAAGAACATTAAAGCCGATGCTCTCTCCCGCCAGACGGAAGAATCCGCTCAACTCCCTGTCACAGATAACATTATCCCAGAAAAACTCCTAGTGGCTCCGGTACAGTGGGATATTATAACAGAGATCGAGCAGTTCAACAGTCAAACAGAACCTCCAACCGAGTGTCCTGAGGGTCGCTTATTCGTTCCAGAACCTTTGCGCTCACGACTCACAGAACAGATACACTCCACACCCAGTTCTGGACATCCCGGCATAACAGCAACCACCCATCTGCTCCGGAACCGCTTCTGGTGGCCAACTTTACAGTCTGATACGACCCGACACATCCAGAACTGCAGAACTTGTAACACATCCTCCCGACAACTGCCAGCCGGACTCTTAAAACCACTCCCCATACCGCAACGCCCCTGGTCTCATATAGCCATCGACTTCATCACAGATTTGCCCAATTCACAAGGTCACACTGTCATACTCACCATTGTGGATCGTTTCTCCAAAGCTTGCAGATTAATTCCTCTTCACAAACTTCCTACGGCTCTAGAAACTGCTGAACATCTTTGCAACCAGGTTTTCCGCTTCTATGGCCTCCCCGAAGACATCGTCTCTGACCGAGGACCTCAGTTCACCTCCAGGTTATGGACATCTTTCTTCAAACACCTCAACGTCAACATCAGCCTCACTTCCGGTTATCACCCCCAATCCAACGGACAAACTGAACGTCTCAACCAAGATGTAATTCGTTTTCTACGATCCTACTGTCAACAACATCAAGCTGAATGGAGCAGGTATCTATTCTGGGCCGAATACGCTCAGAATTCCCCCATCAAACCCGCCACTGGAATCACCCCATTCAAATGCATCCTGGGCTTCCAACCCCCACTCTTCCCATGGTCAGGTGAACCCACTGATTTACCCTCTGTCACCGAATGGCTACAACGGAGCGAAGAGGTCTGGAATCAAGCACACACTCACCTACTTCACGCCGTCAGACGCCAAGAACTCCAGGCTAATCGTCATCGCCGCACTGCTCCAGAGTATCAACCTGGCCAATGGGTTTGGCTCTCAACCAGGGACCTCAGACTTCGACTTCCATGTCGCAAACTCAGTCCCAGGTATGTTGGTCCGTTTCAAATTGTTAAACAAATTTCTCCAGTATCATTTCGATTAGACCTGCCCGCTAATTACCGTATTTCTCCTACATTCCATGTATCACTCCTGAAACCTGCCGGTGGTCTGAGAGGAGAGTCGGAGGAGGGAGTCACAGGCCCAAACCCCCCATCCATCCTGGTCGACGGCGAGGAGGCTTATCGTGTGCACGAGTTGCTCGACTCCAGGCGCCGGGGTAACGTCCTCCAGTATCTGGTTGACTGGGAGGGGTTCGGTCCGGAGGAGCGATCCTGGGTCAACTCTGGAGACATCCTAGACCCCACACTCACGGAGGAGTTTCATCGGATGCACCCGGAAAAACCGGCCCCTCGACCCCGTGGGAGACCCCGGCGTCATTTGCCTCCTCGTTTCAGGAGCCACTCGCAGGGGGGGGGGGGGGGCTCTGTAACGGAGCAGGCTCCCGCACCACCTCCTCTTCACCACCGGAGGGAACCGTCTCCGGAATATTAACTTTACCCATCGAACTCCAATTCCCATCATGCCTCATACCTGGGACTGATTGCACTCACACCTGCACCTCATTCACACACACTCATATAAGCCTCATTCACACACTCATTCAGTGCGAAGTCTTGATCTGCCCCGGCCATCATTTCTGAGCGTTATTTCCCGAGTTTTGTTTCCTGTGTTTGATCTTGGATTGTTTATCGTTGCTGACCCTTCTCTGCCTGCCCTGACCCCGGACTGTTTACTGGACTCTGATTCTTCTCTGCCTGCCTCGACCCTTTGCCTGTTTACCTGGTTTGTCTCAGCCTTGCCTTCTCTGTTCTGTTTGCCACTGTTGGACCCTGCCTGTTTTGATTATTCTAATAAATGCTGCAAATGGATCCTCCTGACTCCGCCTCATCACAACAGATTTATAGAAATGAATGTAATAAATATTATAAAGTTATATTGATACTTTCGCATTACTGTATGTAAAGCAGATATTCCAATAAAGATGAGTAGATAGATGATACTTGTGTTCACCTAAAGCTGTGCAATATAATGCTACAGAAAACCTCGTCATGATAGCCTTATACTCATAAAAAGTAACTTTCTTAATGAATATTCTACATTGATTTGTTGATTTATTTATTTTTTCTGTATTTTTTACTGGAAAAAAAATATCCACTTACTGCAACTTGTCTGTTCTTGGCAATAACAAAGCTCACCACTGCAGCTGGAATACTCTACAAGCCAGAAACAAAACATATATCAATGTCAAACTGACCAGTGGCCTCATCCATGAGTAGAAGAGACACTCACAGATCCAGCAGTACAACGCAGGTAGTCCATTGCAGCTGGAAACACATTACCCATATAGAGAGAGAAAGCTGCCGCTATCAGCAAGCTGCTCTGGGGGTTAGAAACAGATGAATTTAAGAAAAACAGTGTGTTAAGTCTGTTAGCCACAGGAGTGAAAATCTGCTGAGCCAAAGCTCTTACCCCTATGACAACGCTGTACAGCCAGATTCTGTAGCTAAAGCAGGGATGTAATGGCCCAGGCCGATCCAGCTGCAGGTCACTGGCCCTGACATCCACCGTGTAGCTGTCTCTCTCCAACCTCTCCCGCTCCAGATGCCGACTTAGCGTCCCTACCCCACTGTTTCGCTCCAGGGTGGACATCTGGGCGTAGCTGAACACTTCCTGGGCTGATGCCTCATCTCGTTGCATCCTGATATCCATGACCCCTAGAGAACCTGCATATAAATCACATATATTGACTAGGCAAGAAAAAAAGCAATGAGTGCAAACATTTACAGAAGTAGGTAAAGCATATGGCTTACATACTATTGACAGATTGCCATGTGATCCTTTTAATGAAACTTACCTCATCCATATTGCCTTTTTAAGTGGCATTCAATACATGAAACTTTTGACTTTTCTAAGTGCATTTGAAGGTCAACCAATCACAAACCTACATGTTTGAAGCATTAGTGTTAAACATGAATATATATTGGATTGCATTCCTGTAGCTAGCATTTAATCCATCACATTTAATATTCAACTATATTATTGATCTGCCTTACTTAAGGTGGACAATGACGCAATTTTCCTCTAGAAACAAACTTTGTTGTATAATTTTCATGTTATCACTGTAAAGCTGCTTTGATAGAATCTGTATTGTAAAAAGCGCTATATAAATAAAAGTGATTTGACTTGACTTGGCTAGCAACACCATGAGTTTGATTGAACTCTGATGAACTGATAAGTAAGTAAGTAAGAAAACTTTATTAATCCCTGTAAGGGGAAACTCATTCGCCACCCTTGCACATTACAGACACCACAAACAAACAAAGACAAATGTGTATAAAATGTGTATCTTGAATGCAATGCAAGTAGCTTTGGATAAGCGTCTACCAAACACATGAATGCAAATATATTGGCCGATATTCAATAATAATGGATATTAATGTAGGTTGTTACCTAATTTGCCATCCATCATTTCTGTAAAAAAAAAAAAAACAGACATTACAATTTTCAAACATTATCCAACTCATTGTTCCACATGTTAGGTCTGAGCTTTGTTTATTGGATTTTTTAACAATAAACACAATGTACAATGTAACAAATCAAACTACTGAAATACGTAAAAAACCCATTACCATAGTCCGGTTTAAATGGAACTCACCCAGAATTGAATAAATGAATGAATAGGCCAAATTTTAATGTCAGCCATAACATGGAAATAATTATCTCCAAAACGATATTGGTCAGATTTTTAATATCCTCCCTAGCCATTCTGAACAACAACAACAACAACAACAAAAACAGCTAATGACAATCACACACATGCAATATTCTACCAATTTTAAAAGTGCCAGAACAGATTTACTTTAAGCATCTTGTTTCATTAAATACATTTTCATAAAATGTTCCTTAATTAGACACAGTTAAGAAAACATATGGTGGACCATAAAACTCTGGCTATACAGTGACATAACCGCAGCCTGAGTTTTACTCTCCGTGACCCGCTTTTGAAAAATCTTCTTTTTTTTTTTTTACAATTTAGAGAGAGCAGGGCCTTGAAGGAGCTCCAAGAAGACAAAACTGTACTAAATACACTATTTTCATCTTTGCAGGGATAAAATCATAATATGCTACCTAATATGAGCTCTGTGTTTTACTAATAACTAATAATATCTGTAGTTGCCTAGTTGACCAGGGGTGTAATATTTTTGGTCAACAATAAAGAAATAAAATTCAATCAAACAGCTCCCTCTTGAAAACCCACACGCACAATGAATATAAAGCACTTTCACGTTATTACGTAAACAGCCACAGGAACACAGAGCAATAAAGAGGATACAGTGCGGGGATAATGCATGAAGGCAATGATTCATAAAAAAGTTTGAAAACACACCAACCCCTCCTCCCTCAACCTATGGTACACAACTTCATTCTGAGCCTCTCTTTCTTCCCTCCGTTCATTCATCTTATCTCTCCAACCCTCTTTATCTTAATCTCTGCTTCCTACTCACCTGCCTCCAGCTTCGTTTATTTCGGCTTAGCCCACCTGTTCCCCTGTTCCTGTGGAAGTCTAAGGTTTTAGTTGTACTTTATCTTTGTCTTCTTCCTCTTGTTCTTCTCCACTCTCTCTCCCTCTCTCTCTTTCTGTCCCCTCCACTCCAAGTCAATAAAAACTTTTGGAACGCTTCAAAGCCTGGAACGGAAAGTTGCGAGTGTTGCCCTGCCAGCCAGTTTTAGCCAGTGAATGCAAATGGAGCGGAGAGATGGGGCTCAGATCAGGGGCTGCTGAGGCCAGACTCTTACTGCTCTGTTCAACTCAATGAGAGAACTCACACATAAATCAACACCCCCTCGCTGCCATACACACAGAGAGAAAGAATGCACACAACCTAGAACGACTTTTCCCATGTGCACACACAAACAGGCACCCACAATTTTTCTTTTCTTTTTTTCTTATGCATGTGAGTACATGTACACTATACCAGTCAAAACAGTTGTGTATTTTTGTGGAAACCGTGATACACTATTTTCAGGATTCTTTGATGAATAGAAAGTTCAAATAGATTTTTTTGTAACATTACAATGTCTCTACTGTCATTTTTTATCAATTGAATGTACCCTTGCTGAAGTGTTATTTCTTTTCTTTTTTTTATCTTACATAACCCAAACCTACGAATGGTGTATCAGAGTTTCCACAAAAATATGAGGCAGTGAAACTGTTTTTAACATTGATAATATAATAGATGTTTCTAAAGCAACAAATCAGCATATTAGAATGATTTCTGAAGGATCATGAATAATGGCTGCAATGGCTGCTGAAAATTCAGCTTTGCCATCAAAGAAATAAATTATATTTTAAAATATATAAAAAAACAGTTATTTTAAATTGTAATAATATTTTAAAATATTACTATTTTTACTGTATTTACTGACCAAAATAAATGGAGCCTTAAGAGGACAAGAGACCTATCTCAAAAACATTAAACAATTGTAATTATCCCAAACTGACCTGTAGTATGGCAGAAAACAAGATATGCATATACAGTTCTTGTGCATAACAAGTTCAAAGCTGTGCAGTCCTGCACTTATCTCTTGGCTCCTCCCACTTGTGCCTTTGTTTTACTGAAGTGGACAAAACAGACCAGAGAATTGGGACATCCCATGGAGCTTCTATAATCAGTGGGCTCATAAACAATATTTTGTCACATACCTTTGAAGTGATTGAATCCAATCCATTTCTTTTGAGAATCATAAATATAACTGTGTACCATTGTTTGGTTTATAGGTATAAACGAGATAAATAAGAGAAGAGTGAACATACTGTATGTGTAAAAATTCTCACGGCTGTATTTGTTGCAATGCGACTGTTCAAAAGTGTCCTTGAAAGGCAGTATCCATGGAGACCATTTAAACAGCCCCCTTCCAATGGCTGGCCACCACACTTCACTGCCCTCTGAATATGCTCAACAAAAAGATCACACGCTCACGTGGACACATACACACACACCAGAGGCATGGCAAACCACTGAAATCCCTGCAGAAGCATTATTGATTCCTTGTAACTTAGCTTTAAATAGTCATTTTAGGGGTTTATGAGGCAAGAGAGAGAGTGTAAAGTTTGTGGGCTGTAGCAAAGATAAACTTAAATGTTTCTTTTTATTTTCACCTAAATCATAAGTAAAATGTCTCTTTAGTGGCCTGATGGGAAAGCTCACACACCATACATGCCTAGTGGTCCTTTAAAGGTAGGGTAGGCAATTTAAGAGAGGCTTGCAATAGCAAGCTAGTGTTGAAAGCATTAAAGCTGCCGTCGGCAACATTTTTTTGATCATATTCAGTGAAATCGACACTATAATCTGACAGAACAACATAAATAAAGTGGTTTTAGAAAAAAACCCGAGCTTCTAACTCCACCTGGAGCGTGTTATTTGTTTTGCAAAAATCCACAGCTCCCGGTTCATCATGTCCAATCAGCGCAGGGGGGTGTGAGATCTGACTGTCAATCACAGATCGGGCACACGCCACCCCTCGCGCACGTTACAATCACATGCACACGCCTGGAGTTCGCGGAAGTTCGCGCAGTAACGAAGAGTGATGGCGGAAAATCAAGTAAGCTCATTTAGAGTATAAATGACGTTAGCAATTGCAATCTATCGGTACATTAGCCAGGACAGCATACCTCCAAATACTCCATGGTGTTGATGGATGCTGATGAGACGGGCGCGTTCCAGGGCTCTCAAGTTTTGAAGACAGGTAAGAGTGACACCCAGCCGACGGGGGGTTGGATACATTTTTGTCATTGGTTGTTGCGTTAAATCTTACCCAGATACAATAGTGCAATTTTCTGATTGGCTATTGTGTAGCTCGACGAACAACACCAGAAGAAACGCGCTTGATTCATGTCGGTTCCACAGTGAGAGCGGCGCGGCCAGAGTTTTGGGCGCTGTGGCATATTAAATATATTACAAATAGTTTTTCAGCGTGAGAAATACAATGTGTGGCGGGAGAGCGTGACAAAAGACCGAAATGAGTGACTGTCACGCTCAATGCGTGACACTTGAGAGCCCTGGCGTTCACTGAAAATCTGGTGCACACGCACTGACGAGCATGAACTGGGTGGGAGGGTATCCGTTGATAGTGGGGGAGGGGCATGAGAGTTGTAAACATTCAAAATTTTCCTAAATCCACTCAATCTGCCAGACTTGCCGACTGGAGCTTTAAGGTGTGTTCATGCCATGCCATAATTACCGCAATTACGTGAACTAGTAAAAAGCGTTCATGTCCTCGTAGCGCTTGTAATTACAGTTTGTAAGATGGGAATTGTCTGAGAGCTCCTACCTGTACCACCTGACCGCTACAGATTAATTTAGGTGTTGCTAGAAGTGCCTTAGAAACGCATAATTCCTAGCCGAGGAAGGAATATAATGCAATGTCACGTGTTGTCATTTTGAGACTATGGTAATTAAGACATGGAGTGAATGCAGCATTAGATCCCACCCTCCCTTCAGAGCGCTCTTGAAAGCCACGCCTCCTCCAAAACACATCGAGCAAGTCACCCACAGCAAGAGCAGATTCTGCAAAGCATCACGAGAGACGGCGTTTAATTACCTCATGTCTCAACGTAAACAACTTACAGAGCAGCATAAGTTCATTGTCTTGGTTCAGGAGGAACTGTAAAAGGGGGCTGCTGTTTGTTTACGCTGCCTGGTGACTGTCTGTCTATAACTACACAACGATGACGTGTGATGTCTGCGCGAGCAGGGTGGAAATATGTTGTTTTCAGGCAGGCAGGACTTCCACAGATTATGATTTCCATTACACGAGAGTAGATGTTAAAACTTCATGCTGATTTGTACTCAGCTTTCGCCAAGATAAGCAAAACTAAGACGTAGCTTTACAGTAAACTATGCTTCTCCATCCATTTACGCTTCTTTCCATAAGGTGGTGTGACTCCCCTTCTGTCTGGCGTTAACGGCTGCAGTGTACTTGGCGCGTCAGCACACGCGACGGCTGCAACTACAGGACCAGCACGACAACCGTCTGGATTGAGCCGAGTAGGGGACATCTTTAGGGTCTTCAAGTGGGCACCTTCCGTCCTCAGTGTTTCGTCGACTAGCCCACGACACCTCAAGAGGGCTCGACAGTGACTCTGGCGTCCCAGAGTCACCCCCTCTGTCCCCCACTCAACTCAACTCAGCCCAGCTTACTGACCTCTACATCCCTCCTGCTGCTGAGACCTAACCACAATCTCACAATCTCTCCGCAACCCAACCATACGCGCCAACCCGTTTGACTAAGGCTGTCGAGCCCCACTGGTGCGTTAATATGCAGTTTCAGTGGCAACGGTTCCGTATGGCATACCACCTACCGCAAAACACAATATCTGCCCAACCACCCGTCATTCACGCAATATCCACAGGAACGTATACAACTAAACCAACAGACTCTTCAAGTTTTCAAGAATTCTACGAAACCGTAGCGTGGCGGCCTGTACACAGCCAGCTAGAATCTTTCCGCCTCAACCACAGCCAGTTGCTGCACCTTTCTGCTGCTTCAGATAAGCTCTTTACTGTGCGACGCAACTATTGGCCACTGAATCCGACGTCTCTAAGGAACCGGGTTGTAGAGTGTGCCACAAAACCTCGACAACCCACTTCCACTGGATAAACCTGGACTCTCCATCCTCGCTGTTCTGCTTCAGCGGCCAGATGAGCATACCGCAGTTTCTTCCTCTCATATGCCTCATCTACCGCATCCTCCCATGGCACTGTTAACTCTATCAGTTGAACAATGCGTGCTGATCCAGACCACAAAACAATATCTGGTCGTAGGTTAGTGGTGGCAATCTCAGGTGGAAAAATAAGCCGTTGATCAAGATCAGCCAGCATCTTCCAGTCTCTAGCAGCTTCCAGTTGTCCTGGGCGAGAATTGGTGTTAACACCTTTTCTTGGTGGTTGCTCGCCTGGGCGGAGGAATATTGTCTTCTGCATGTAATGTTTTGCTAGAACAGAAAACAGAAAATGTATGCAGTAATATATATATATATATTTAGACTTAGACCTTCTATTATTGATTGCTATCAGGATGTGAAGAGAGTTTAAACCAGAATAACAAAAAGTGTTTATGAAAAAGATTGCCTAGCCTACCCTACCTTTTTAACCTTTAAAATATGAAAAATATTCTCATAAAGCTATATGCTCTTGTAAATCATTAGCAATCTGGGGTCAAAGTAAAACTAAAAGGCATAATGGAGGGCATCTCTAACTCACAGGTTACTCCTTTCGATATTTGCCTGCAAACTGTGTCTCTTCAGCTCAGACCCCTTACCATTTGGTAACCACTTCCCATAAAAGGACAATGCTTCTCTTGTTCCTTTTCCTTAAATCCCACTTTCCTTTCACTTTTCTGACTCATATATCTTTGTCTTTTTCATAGCATTCCTTCATGTTTCTCTCCTCCCCTGCTGCCCCTCTCCCTCAATCGCATCTGTTGTGCCTGTAAACATTGTCTTGTTTGCTGAGATTAAGTTTTCTTTAACACTGTGCAAACAACTTGAGGGCTGAATTGCGCTCCAAAGTTACAAAAACAGATTTCTCAGAAATCAAGAGAAATTAGCTAGCAGCATTAAAATTCAGCAAGCAGCATTATTAAGCTCAGTGGTTCTCAGCTGGTGAGGAGCGTATGGGTCACAGGTCTGTTTTGATCCTGGACATAGGCTAAGGGAGACAGCTAAATGCAAATAATAAAACCAACCATATAGTCATGCGTGAAATAACAAAAAAAAATAGCCTTAATAAATTTTGAAAAGTATAGGAGAATGTTTTTTTTTTAT